AATGTTAATTTCACCTCAGCTCAAAATGCTTTTATGACGCGAGATTAATGTAAACACAGCCCACTGTGAACACCCTTGTAATTCGCTTCAACCTTTTTGAATTTTATGAATGATTATTTTAGGTTCAAGTGTGTGTAAGGATTTGGAAACAAGCAGAGTACGGCTGTTTCTAAAGCATGCAGTGCCATCTGCTGTTCAAAACTAAGCTCAGAATCGACTCAAGAAAGAATCGCGATGCATTCGGAAAATCTCAGAATCGATGCTGAATCATTTCTCGATTCGCGATGCATCGATTTATTTTCCCAGCCCTAAGTAATGATACTGAAAATTTAGCTTTGCCATCACAGGAATAAAATATATTTTCAAATAAATTACAATAGTAATTTATTTTAAATATATTTTATAATTCATTTTATTTATAAAAGTCCTTCGTCACATTCAGAATGCTGCAATACATAAGATTAAAATTGCATCAATAAACAGAAGCGCAGCTTTGGTGAGCAAAAGCAAAAACATTAAAACAATTGTACAGACTCCACACTTTTGAACTGTACATAGGCCTAAACTGTGTACATAAGAAGGAAAATGTCAGTTAAAAAAAAAAAACTACACAAAAAAAGGCAAAAAAAAAACAAACAAGACATTCAAAATGAATATTTTTGCATATTTTTCAAAAATGTTGCTGAACCTTTAAAAACAAGGTAACGCATGTTTCAAGAAAACACTGCACATTTATAAAGGGGTTGTTATTATTCATAAAAGTTTTGTGACACTTTTCTGCATAAACGTGCAAAGGAAGGGTATGTGAACGTCTTGTTTGAGATTCAAACTGTTAACAACATACTGAATATAACAGAACACTACAACAAAGTAATGCCATTTCTGTGTTGACAAGGACTTTGGAAGTAAATTAAACACCGAATTGTACAAGACACACTTCACAGAACACTGTTCATGCTCAAAGACAAAGAAAGAACTGAACTGTAACAACAACTATTTGGTTGTGTGAAACAACGCAACTGGAACAACTCTGCTGTTAACCCACCTAGTGAACTTGAAAATAACTGAATAATTATTTAGTATTATGAAAAAGCCCACAGGTAAAGTGCAGTTCACTAATACATTATCTGATATTTTAACAATGTTTGAAATATTTTTAAAAAAAAATATATATTTTAAGTTTAAATTGTAAAACACTGGTCAATATAATGTCCTATACACAATATTAAAACAGACAGCATTTTGGTAGAGCGTGAACTCTGTACAATTAGTTTACAGAACTTGTTAACTGAAACTGTAAAGTTAAACTTCACAGACGCTAATACACAGACGATGGCCCCGTATCTATTTTTATATGAGGCAAGCATCAGAGCATGTCTTCAAGCCCACAAAACTTTGACCTTAACAATTACTTTTTTTTCATTTTCAGTTGCATGTTTCTGCTCAGAGAACAGATCACAAAGTAACCATAGCACATTTCCATGCCAATGATACATGACGCACTGAAGAAACAAGTGCAACTGCATGAAAGCAAAGACATATAGGGTTCCCACGCCTTTTGAGCAATGAATTCACATGACGTTTTTGGTTGTTCGAGATTTCTGAATAGAGCATTTTAATAATTGTTTTAAACAGAACACTCATGAAGCTAATGAAATATTAAAAAGCCAAGCAAAACTATAAAACCACACATTTCCATGACTTTAGCTGGTGTGGAAATCTCAAATTCGCTAGTATTTCCAGGCAATGCTGTACATAACACTGACCAGCACAGACAATAACCATATATCAAATATAGTCTAATTTAATCAATAAACTAAAACAGTTACCACATTTTTTACAACCATGACTAGTTCACACTAACTTTTAAAGGGGCCGTGAACTGCCTTTGTGTTTTATTTAGTACTGTTCTCAGAGGTCCACTTATAATGTTATCAAGATTTTTACATCAAAAAGCATCATCATTTAGAAGTAATAGGCTGTTTTCTGTCCTGTTTTGACCCCCCTCATCAGAACGCTCTGTTTGAATAGGCGTGGCGGATTGTAGACTCGGAAGTAAACGCCCACTGCTATGATTGGCTAACAGTTGTGTATGTTTGACAGCCTACATCCTTCATCGATGAACGCTGCTGCGATTTAGGTGAAAAACGCAAGAATACTCCGTACATATCAAATGATCTGGTTAACAGACAAAGCAATATTGACCATGTCATAAAAACAGTTACTCCCACTTGCATGGTGCAACATTATTGTCGGATCAAATATATTCGGTACAGCATCGTCTTTTAGTTTCAATCTTTCTGAAAATCCTGCGTCGAATTGTGCCTTGTTTATAAACGAATCTGCAGTAAAATGAATTGAACAAAGGACCGAGTTCTCACTGACGCGATCTGCAACTTCATTAAAAATAAAGTTTAACCACTCTTTCCTAATGTTGGGATCAGAAGGAAGGCAATGCAAAGACTGTGTTTTTCCACAACTTGGCACTGAACAACGTCTTGTTGTCTTCGGAGCCATCTTTATCGTTTGGTTTCTGCGTAGACCTGCGCTTGTCTCTCTCGTTATTCACTTACATGCGTGAATCGGTGGGCGGAGCTAAACAGGCAGTGATTTTTGTGGGGTTTAGGCCACACTATTACATCATAGAGCGGCACATTCCACAAGCGGTCATTTTGTTAGATTGGCTTCAATATAAGCTGTTTTTAGATTAACAATAAAGTTTTGAGTAGTGAATCTTAATGGGATGTTTTTATAGTACAATGACCTCTTATATGCCAAAAGATCGAGGGAATTTTGATTTCTCGGTTCATGATCCCTTTAACATTTTGAAAAAGCTCACATTAAAATCCCAACATTTAATAGGCCTATATGTTGATACAATATAGCTAAGCCTTCACAAATGTAACAGGTCTGACAACGTTGTCGTTCTTTATTAGCTTTGTGCTCAAGGTCATGATGCTACAAAAAAAAGCTAATATTGCTTGCTACAATTATCCAGTTTTCGATTATCAGTCGTTTACTGCACAAAACCATAGTAACAGGGCTGACCATTTAAATTAAAATAGTTGCCTACCGACAAAGCTAACAAAATGTATGTGATAAAGTTCACATCTGAACAGGATGATGATGATGTCATCATGAACATTTATAGTACCTCAAAGCAGTTTATGATGGTTATGAAGCTAACGAGACTGATAAATAACCAGTAAAATATTACACCAACTAAAATATAAATATGTTGAGACAGACAGAATAAAACATGTTAGATTTTATTTCTACATATGGTTTGCAATAAAAATACGCATTTACACCATGTGTTGCTAACACACAAGGGACTTTAGAAACACTGATTAGGGACAGGCTAATATGCATCACAATGGAAAAAAAGAAATGCATATTAAATAAGAAATAAATCCACTGGATTTAGGCTGACATGTTAAAATAAAACCTAAGTAACACAGTAAAAGTTAGTGTCAGCTTTGCATCGATAAAGTCACTGTTTATATACATATTTATTGTCTCAAGCCTATTCACTCTAAGCATCAAACTAATATAATTGTTCTTCACTGCAGGTGATCAAGCACTGAATGCTCTTATCAGCAATCTGTCACAAGAATCAAGTCCAGCAAACGGGGTGTTGCAACTGGTGTATGCATAGAAATAAAAATTAAATGTACGTCCAAAAAGAATCAGATAACGCATACAGTAGCGTTTATATGCAACTTATAACTGTAGGAATTAAACAAAAAAATCAAACTGCATGATCTCTGACCCTCATTCTGCTATAAGCTACAATGCTACAGTAATTGCCCCCCCTCCCCCTCCGTGTTTTAATGTAACGCTACACGGCAGACACTGCGCTCGCGCTACTTGTATTCTTACTCCTTCCTATGAAACACGGTCACGTAAAACAAGCGCACACTGGTGCATTTGAATACTGCTGTGAAAAACGACAGATCGGCCCATGCACTCACTTCTTCGCTCCCACTTGAGCTGTATCCAGCCTCTCCCAGGCTCTTGTAGCTCTCCTCAAGCCCGAGAAGGCGCAAGTGAGACTGGTCCTCGTTCAGCGCGAGCACCAGGCAGGTGGGCCTCGGGCCTCCGTTGGAGGAGATCTCGTCAAGATCTGTCCCTGAGCGGCCGAGCTGCCATCGCTTCTCCGAACGCAAACGGCTCCGCGACAACCAAGGCCGACCGGGGAAGCGACCCCGCGCCGCGCCCACGCCGCCTGCGCCCACAATGGCAGCCGCGGTTGCTGATCCGCATCCCGCTGCCGCCATCATCGCATCATTTATTAAATACTAATTATTTAAATAAAAAATAAAAGTGGAAAAAATATTTATGGTTCTAGAGGTCAGCAGTAAAGCATTATTTTAGTGTTGCATAACAATGTCATTATAATTGATTTATTCATTTGTTTTGACATTACAGTGATTTAAACCCTTTCAACAGACAAAATGTTGAAAAACAGATGCATGAAGGCTCCAATGTGAGCCTTCATGCATCTCCGTATTGTATCAGAATCTTTTTTTCCCCTTAATGTACATGTAATCTTTTAACATTTAGCAAAATAATTATTATTCATGGTTTTGAGCATTTTCTTGATCATTAAGCATTTTGTTCATGCACCCTGGCATTATTTTAAGGCAAAAAATAAATAATATACCATTTAACTTTTAAATACTATTTAAATATGGAATTAGTCATATTATTAAAAATAATTGTATTATTATTATTTATATCATAGCAGTATTTGTGTCGACTGTTGACTTTAATTTATGCTGATTTAAAAATGATTGAACTGTACAGCAAAACTGCCAAAATAAATACTGTGAAAATAAAGGCAATACAAAAAGATAATTTGTGGTGAACTGTAATGTAAATAATAGCTTTTAAGCTTTTATTTGTTTATTTAGAATTTGGAGTAAAACTGTGTTTTTTGTGACATTCACCCATTACGCTATAAGACCAAAGGGTTAAAAGGGACCCATGAGGAACACCGGTCTCACGTTCTTAACGCCTGTCCCTGAAAACTCCATTACCCATCATGCACCGCCGTGCAGTGACGTCACACCTTAGTTTTCATCAGGAAGCGGAACCATAAAAGTTGTTTCTCCCTCGCCTTTGTTGTGGTAAACCCTCCGTTTTCTCGTCTGAGCTCGGCTTACAAGGTATCCACCTTCCTTTACTACAACAAACAATCCGTGTAAGGTTTTAGAGCAGACGGTCTGCCGTATGCGACCAGTTATTGTTCGCTCGCAGTCCAGTAATGTTGTTTTGACTGAGGGGTTGATTAGAAGGATTTTCATCTTATTGCTTCAATCATTTACACTGTTTTTGAAGCAGTGGTATCATTTTATTTCTGACTAGATGATTTGATTATGTGACAAAGCTATGATGGCGGTTTTAATGCATGATTACAGTAAACCCAATTTCCTATGTAACGTTAGCAATCATGTATTATGGCAGTACTGTTTTGTGTAGGCAGATGGCAGCAATGTTGCAGCATATTGATCAGTTCAGTTGGATACCTGTGGATGGATTTATCAAGGGTTTTCTTTATAGGAAACTCCACAATGAACCTCGAACGGATGCCCAATGAAGAGAAGCTTAGCCTCTGCAGGAGATACTATTTAGGTATGTTGTGACAATGACATATCATGACACCATGCGATGTGTTTTCTGTACATGTATTGTTGTTTTCATTGTGCTGATTTGTTCCTCAGGCGGCTTTGCGTTCCTCCCCTTTCTCTGGCTGGTAAATGTGCTGTGGTTTTTCAAAGAGGCCTTTTTAAAACCTGCATACACAGAACAGCCACAGATTAAATCATGTGAGTATGTGATGGAATACATGTAAGGACTCACAATGTGTGCTCTACCACATTTCTGTGGGTGATATTCTTCCTTGCAACTCTTCCCACAATCTGGTTTAAAATGTTAAAAGAATCTGCCTACACAGACTTAATTCAGAGTCAGTGTACACCAGTATTCAGATAATAAAGTCTTCATTGCCATTTAATATGCACAAATGTTCGGAGGATATTTACATAGCAGCTCCAAACAGGCCGATAGATGCTGTTCCCTCGCTGGAATTCTTGAGCGGCTTTTGTGTAAACTAAAGTGTGGCTCATGATACTTTTATGGGCAAGAAACACTTTAAGGAATTCCATGTGTTTATCAGTCAGCTGTATTAAAAACAATGCTATATTTAAGTTGTAAGGTTTATGAAGTCATGAAAAAATAATTATGAAAAAGAAAATCATCATTTAAACAGTATTTTTTAAAGCCAAAACAATAAGTACCATTATTCTGCTATACATTATATTTCCTAATATGCAAACTAAGATTAATAGTTGGCATCTATGGATGTTTTGCGACGTATTACACAGATTAATTTGTTTTTTATTATTATTATTATATATTGTATTTGTGCTTTCTAGTTAGTTAACCCTGTAAAGCCAGTCATATGAAATAATAGTCAAAAAATATATATTTTTAAATAAATGCAAAGTTATTGAATCTTTTAGACTAAATAAAAAAAAAAAAAGCATGATGATTTGATACATCGGGTTTTTGTGGATCATATAGTATAATCAAGTGAGAATATGGAGCTCACACTTGACTAGGAAAAAAACACCTCGATTTTATTCACAGGCTAAAACTGAGTAAAAAAGAAAAATGCAGTTTGGAGCAGTTGCTGATATTTATATGGCCAAAAAGTAAGATGAAATTCTCATAGCTTGTGAATGCGTTCTTTATAACAGTATTGCAGACTACGTACATTAAATGAATATAAATATCATTCTATGTCTTCCAATAATATGTCTTAGTAAGATGATATTTAAATGTTTATTTTTATGATCAAATCTGGAAGTTTTTATTGATTTTACTAAGAAATAATGCATGGATAATCATGTAACCTTAACACAACCCGACAGTGAACATTTTTAGAATTATACTAAAAGGCCTTTTACTCGCTAAAGAAGTATACACTATCAATCAGACAACTGTAGGCATCTAGTAGACTGTTTACAATAGGTTTTTCAGCTTTCAAGATGTTATCATGCTCATAACTTATAAATTTGCATGTCTAATATGATACAGTAGACTTTACGAGTTTCAGTGCATGACGTCTAGGATGTAATGTATACTGTTTCTTCTGGCCTCCACAGACATAAAGAAGTCAGCTATGGGGCTCATACTGTGGGTGGCCGTGCTGACGACATGGATCACCATATTCCAGCATTTCAGAGCACGGTGGGGTGAGGTGGGAGATTACCTCTCCTTCACCATTCCCCTCGGCACAGCCTGATCAGATCTGCTGCTTCACAATACCTCTGTTTTATTTCTCTCTCTCTCTCTGTTTTTCTCCTCCCATCGACAAGATGCTCCTTGGCTAATTTTACCACTATCGTCGCATAGAAGATAAACTGGATCTGTCTGGGAGTTGTGGTATTTTGTGAACTGATGAAATCGTTTGTTGATTGAGTGAGATAATATGGACACGGATGCACCATGCTGAAGCGCAAGAGTTCATTTCCAGCACTACTACTACTTCCTATTATATTTGAGATCACACATTCATATTAGTAACTCTGACCTCTGTCAATGCATTGAAAAGAATGTATGACAGAAATAATCTCCGGACCAGTCAGGTCCATCCAAAATAAAGTCTTTGAACTGTATTTTGGCAGTTGATATGACATGTAATATTATTGTTCTCAAAGAAAAAGGCCATTCATTTTTTTTCTGCTATATTTGAATCATTTTGATGGACAGTAAAAACCACATATTTTGTCCATAAATATAGAATTGTGTTTTGCACAATTTCAAATAAAATCTGAAAATACTCTGCATTGCCATTGTCTTCATCATGAACTGTGAAATACAGAAACATATGGGAATGAACTATTTGAATAAAATATTCATATATTAAATACAAAAAAAGGTATTTTCAAGGCTATTTCAAGTTAAGAAGAAGAGGGAAAGTTTTATCTCTTAAAAAAATATTTGTATTTATTTAGTCCAATGGAGATTTTTGGCATTAACAAACAAAATATGTTAAAATGAACTATTTTAATATAAGTATTTTATATAATATAAAATAAAAAGTAAAAAAATCATAAAAAAAATTAATGTGGTAACACTTCAGAATGGGGAACACATTCACTGTTAAGAGTTTTCCCTCAATAAACTCCTAATTTGCTGCTTATTAATAGTCAGTAAGGTAGTTGTTAAGTTTAGGTATGGGGTGGATTAAAGGAACACTCCACTATTTGTGAAAATAGGCTCATTGGAAGTTACCTAGCTGGGAATATTTTCAGGCGCTGCGTAATATCATTGCGCCTGCTGAAACTCTTTGGTCATTTTTGAGCGAGATGCTAACGGTCTAATCAGATTCAATGATCTATGCTAAGCTAAGCTAAAAGTGCTTAGTATATTTTTTACCTAAGAGTGTTGCGTATTTGTCATCCACCCACGCCATTTTTAGAGCTTGTTGTGAATGGAAAACAAAAGCATCTAAAAGCCAACAGGGTTCTAGAAAAATCCTTGATTGACGAGTTCCCTTGTTCTCTTGCTTACTAACCAACAGCCTGCAATCATTTTAAACCCGCTGCATACCAGACTCTATAATATCGACGCACGAAGCCTCCGTCCCACGTGTAACCCCTTACAGGCGGCTATTATGAAATTCGATCCAACTTTTGAGCACACACTAAGCCCAACGTGGATCTTCATGGGTGCTGTTTTTAGTCGCCTATAGCCGGCTCACAGACAGAAAGTTCTGCTTACCAGCGGATGGCAACAGCAGAAGGACATGTTATCCTCAGCCCCAATGACTTGCAGTTCTGCCAATCCATTGGTCATGTTTTAAATCCAAGGGCCAGGACCTGTATTTTTTGAGTCGTAAGCCACGTGTGGTCGCTAGACAGCTGATTCTTTAGAAGTTATTCTGCTGTTGGAGGTCAGCAGTAGGACAATGTGCTTCGTGTGCGATAAAAATGTCATTATGAATCCCATCATTCCTTTGACAGGACATTTCACTGATTTAAAACTTTCGAACAGACATGTCAAAATGTGTAGATTTGTCACCTTCTTACTGGAAGACATCTCTCATACTCTATCAGGCGGTTTCCATCATTAGTTCAGGACTTTTTATTTAGATGTGTTTACGGTCTAGATTTTGCATTATGCAATGACATTAAACATGCTACTTGACAAACAGACCAATAGAAATATGGCATCATGCATTTCTTAATGCCTGCCAACCACATTTCTCATTAACACTAAGATAGAAAATACCAATGACTGGCAGCGGGTGTGCCTGTTCAATATTGCAAAATACTACAATTTCAGGCTCTGAAACACGCATGAGCTTGATCGAGTTAATGAATAAACGTAATATTAAATACACTATTATTGCATGTTTCATTTTAATACAAGCAGACAATAAACCAAAGATGAAGCAATTTTCACAAGGGCTTTAGGCCCCTATGTCAGGAACCATAAGATTTTGAGTCAAAACCTCACACAAAAAAAAAGTGGTTTTGTTATTTATATATATTTATATTATATATACAGTATGTATATATATATATATATATATATATGTGTGTGTGTGGGTGTGTGTATATGTATATTGTAATGTGGAAAAAGTATATATACAGTGGGTACGGAAAGTATTCAGACCCCCTTACTTATTTCACTCTTTGTTATATTGCAGCCATTTGCTAAAATCATTTAAGTTAATTTTTTTTCC